CGAAGTTGTTCAACAACCAAAAAAATATATATATCGATGTTTTCCTTAGATATGACATAATTATGCATATAAAATAGTTGTGACTCTGAACCTTGATTTTCCAAAGAACCATATAACAAAATTTCATTCCAAAAGAATAAAAAAATTAAAGGTCCAATATATACTCATAATAAAATTTCAGAAAATTTTTTATAAAAATTGATTCTTAGCGCTTGAAATTGAGGGGAAAACAAAACGAGTTATTTTTAATTGCTAGGAACTGATCTACCCTAAAATAATATAACTATAAGGGTCAGTATATGATTCATCTTCACGAAAAGTAAAGAAATTTCAAGAATTAGCATATAACAAAACCAAAAAAAAAAAACCAAGAACTAGGGTTTCGCTAGAAAGATCTCAATAAAAAAAAAATCTCATAATTAGAGAACCTTAGATTGTTGTGATTATCAGATAAACACGAGATCTCTGCAAGAGTGATGTGAAACGCTTCCAACAAGGAGTACTGAGCTGGAGAAGTGGCATTAGGGTTTCCCCATCGGTAACAATTCTTCGATAAGTCCGAGAAATTTTCTCGGACTTTCTCAGAAAAAGGACGGTCAAAGAGTTTCTTCTCTTCGAGAAACATCATCTCAAAGACTTCTTTAGGAATCCCATGGTTTACAATTTGAAAAAATCCCCACTCTTTCGCTGCCTCCACCATTTGTTTCACACATCTTTTGCGTTCGATTTCTTCGCCATTTGTTAGATGACTAAGATCGATCACCGGAAGCTTTAGTCCTCCGGTATGGACGGTTGTTGTGTCCGTATTGTTATCATTAGTTGATCCCGAATAGGGACTTCCGAAAATCGAAGAGAAATTTGTTTTGAAAGGAGGTTGAGAAGCCATTTTAAGCTAAGGCTATATAAGAAGAAATGAAATTTTAAGAAGTGATTATTTTCTACGCCTCTATCTCGATATATAATGGGAAAAACCCTTAACCTCTATATATAGATATAAAATTTCATGTGTCACTATCCAATCTCTGTAGATGGAAGAAAATTATTAAAGGAGTCGTATACTGTTAGAGAAATGATTATAATATCTAGGGTTGATGCATAGCACATGTCCGTTTTCAAGAGAAAAAAACAATACATTACTTGATCACGCATGATTACAAATTCCGTAATATGTAGCCATATTTTATACTTCTATTTTGTCACAATAATAGGTACGTTATTTTGTTAGTTTTTGTCATCAGTACGTATATGTTCATTTTTAGCAAAAGAAACTATATATAGTTCAATTATTTTATAAAATAAATTATTGATAATAACGTATATGGGTGCATTTACTTGTATACGTTACACGCTGTTCAAACAAACAGTTTTAAGGGCCAAAATCTTCCTATTCATTTTCCAAATATTTAAATATAATGGGCATGCGAAAATGTTTTAATTATATTTTATATATAGATCCAATAAATATTTGATGGACGTTAAGACTTGATCGAGCATTTATGACATAATTTTTCTCAAGCTATGAAAACCATGTGTTTATGTCTGTTTCTATATATTTTTATTTTATTTTCCTAAAGATATTTTAGAAAAGAACATCAGAGAATATTCCGAGAAAACTCTTGAAAGTCCTAAATAGCGAC